TGTCATAAAAATAGCCACAATGATATGCATGTTAATCCCAGTACTAGGGGCCAGGGAGATGGTTCAGTAGAATAAGTACTTGCCTGGCAAACCAAGGGCCTGAGTTCAATCCCTGGTTCTGCCAAAAAAAAAAGAAAGAAAAGAAATAAAAAAATCTTAAGTACTTAGGAGGCAGAGGCTCCTAGGATTGCTGAAAGTTCAAGGCTAGTCTGGGCTTCACAGGGAATTCAATGACAGTCTGGACTATGTAGCAAGATCCTGCTTCAAAAAATAAAAAAACAAAACTCAAAACATAAAGAAGGATAAACTTGAGGCATTTCTAGGTAAATGCACATACTCTGAGATCATAATTTGAAATCAAACAGACAAGTTTAAATATCATGTTGCTTTGTGTGGGAAACCCAAACTATAAACAAAGAACAAAGTAGACAAAAGAAAAATCTGGGGCTGGGGAGATGGCTCAGTGGAATAAGCACTTCCCTGGTAAGCACAAGGTCCTGAGTTCAATTCCCTTTTTTGCAAAAAAAAAAAAAAAAAAAAAAGCTGCAACATTCACAGGAAAGAATTTCTCCCTAGGCATGGTGAAGCTTAAAACTACCAAATATCGGGGCTGGGATGGCTCAGTGGTCTAAAGTACCTACTTAGAACAAGCTTAGCAAAAGCACAGGGACCGCGGTTCAATCCCCCAGCACCATATGCCAGCCAGCCCCGCCCCCTGGTGGGCTGAGCTGGCCACACACACACACACACACACACACACACATAAATAAATAAATGAATAAAAATAAAAAATAAAAGAAAAATAATTAAAAAAAATACCAAATATCTCATGGGCAGCCAACTAACTCAGCAGACTAAAGCACCTGCTTAGGCATGCTTAGGCAGAGCACAGTGGCGGGGGTCTGCTGTGCCAGCCCCACCCCCGGGCTTTTCTGAGATGGCCACTGAGACTGGGTGTGGTGGTGCGGGCCTGTAATCCCAGTGCTTGGGAGGCTGAAATTAGGTGAATCACTACGAGTCTGATCCGTGTAGTGAGACCCTGTACTAAATACATTTAAAAAAACATCAAGTATCTCTGTGTCTTTGACAAACTATTGCCTTCTGACTCAACAGAGAATTCTGTTTTTTTTTTAAATCATAAGGTGGGGCTAATAGTTCAGCAGAATAAGTGCTTGCCTGGCAAGCACAAAGTCCTGAGTTCAATCCCCAGTACCACACACACACAAAAATCTTAAACTGTTTGAAATTTTATCAGTATGAGACCTGCCACACTTATATAGAGGATCTACATTACTCAGTTTGCAATTAGAAGGGAAGGGGATCAAGAGAAGGAAATGGGTGGGGGCAGAGGGGAGATAAAAATGCTCAAGGATATATATATATATATAATCCCAAGATGAATGTAATTAGTTTTGAAAACATATATTATTTTTTACATACATATATTAAATAAGAAAAAAATTACAAGTATAACTTCTCAGTAGTCTTAATTTATAACCAAGATGTACCACTTCATTTATTTATTTTTTGTGTGTGGCTGGCTCAGCCTGCCCTAGGGGCGGGGCACTTTGAACCACTGAGCTATCTTGCACTTCAAGGAGTTTAAAAACAAAAATCTCCCATTTATTTAAATTTGTAGTTTCCTAAGAAATAGAACATTGAGTCTACTTCAAAACCTTAAGACTTAATATTACACCCTTTGTGCTTAGCCTTCTCCCCTCCTTTTCTTTCTTTTGCAGTGCTGGGGGCAGAATTCAGGGCATTACACTTGCTAGGCAAGAACACTAGTAATGAACTACCCCCTAGACCCTTGCTTTTTTAAAACTATGCTGCATTTAAATGTAACCTAAACCCACCCCTTACGTCAAATCCTTGTAAAACTCTACCTTTTTTTGGTAAAAGAACATCCCAGGCTCACTCTGATAACCATATTTGCTTGTATCAGTGCACCAATAAACCCTGCTTTATTAGGCTGCAGGTTTGTCCTTGGGGTCTCTAGCTAATTGAGCTAAGATGGATGACACAATAATATGACTTCTGAAGGATATTATGACCTATATTAGGAAAGCAGTCCCAAACAAAGGCTGCAGAAAGAATACTACATTGTGAGAAATTAGGCAAACTAAAATGCAGCAGCCAAGAATTATTGTGAAAAGGATACTGAACAGAAGAACAATGTGTGTTTCAGCTACAAACTGGGCTTGACTGCTTCCATGGATATAATTCTTCAGGGGAAAAACAGATACATTAAATATAAATTAAATTCTACCCTAACCCTCACATAGGCTATTTAAAACTGTACAAATTAATTCACCTGATGTAGGTAAGCATATAGCATATTTTGAGTCAGTGTCATTTATCAGTAAATACATTAGAATTTTATAAAAGCTATTTCTGTATTAATGTTTCTTATCATATTCTCAGCAACAAAACACATGAAAAACTAGTATCCATTTTCATAAGACCATAAGATAAAATAATATACACCCCATTAAACAATGACCATGCTTTTGTTTATCAATATAGCAGATAAAATTCACCAGGTGCCTATAAACAGTACATGCTCAAGTACTTGATTAATTTTTGTATTCAGTTGCAGACTAACTTTCACCCTTAGTGCACTTAGTCAAAATGACTCACCAAAAGGAATAAGGAACTTCACCCTTTTAATTCTCTTAAGTACCTGAAACCTATTAACACAAAGAAACTGAAAAGTCAAAACTACATCTAATTCCTTCATATACTGGCACTGGTCTCATGCAGTGATAATCGCTATGTTAATTTTGCTATAAAATGGAAACAAAACCAAGACTTCTTACCACATGTCCTGTGTGGGGATTCTTATGGGCATATGGTGGTCCTCTTATATGGTTCCACATTTGACCAGATGTCATGGCAAGAACAAAACACTAGGAAAGAAAAGGTAATGAAATACCCATGGCCGGAAAAAATAAAATAAAAAAAAAAGAAAAAAGAAAGAAATATTCATAGTCAGTCTAGTCTTACTTTTTTTTCTTGAAAAAATGTCATTTTAAGGGACCGGGGAGATGGCTCAGTGCAATAAGCACTTCCCTAGCAAGTGCAAGGGTCTGAGTTCAATCCCTGGTTCCGCCAAAAAAAAAAAAAAGTAATTTTATTTGTACCCTTAAAAAGTTGTACATAGAAAGTTGTAAAACAGTTGTGTAAAACTGAAAGAACTGTCAAGGGTAAGGGAGGGTAAAATTTTTGGGCATTAAGGAAATTGGAGAAAAAAAACTAAAACAGTAAAATATTCAAAGAATTAACATTTTCCAAGTATAAATTTTATAAACAATATAAATTCACAGATTAATCTGAGTAATATTCAATTACTCTGAATGGTAAATAAATAGCCAGTCAATAAATTCAGTGCTTAATATGAACCACAATTATTGTGGTTTTTTGGGACAGGTTCTGGCCATGCAGTTCAGGCTGCCCTTGAACTCAGTAGGTATACTAGGTTGGCCTCAAACTCACAGAAGTCCTCCTGACTCACCGTCCTGTGTTCTAGGATTACAGGCATGTGCATCAGTCCCAGCTCTCTAGTCCTAGTTTTTTTTACTTTATGCATTTGGTACAGGTTCTCACTATACAGCTCAGACTCATAGTGATCCTCCTGTTTCCAGCCTCCCGAGCAGTGGAATTAAAAGGAATGTGCCACCACGCCCAGACTAGGTTGTTGGCTCAGTGTCCCCGGGTGTGGGACCAGCAAGGCATGCGGGACCTCTAGTCCTATTTTGATTACATTAAAAAGTAAATAAAATATTAGAACTGTTCAGATAATCAGTGAAAAAAATTTCTAGCTAAATGACTTATTTACTTTTTTTAAATTATTTTTTTAAAATTTCATTTATTTATTGTGTGTGTGTGTGTGTGTGTGTGTGTGTGTGGCCGGCTCAGCCCACCAGGGGGTGGGCTGGCTGGCATGTGGTGCTGGGGGATTGAACCGCGGTCCCTGGGCTTCGGGCTTCACTAAGCTTGTTCTAAGTAGGTGCTTCAGACCACTGAGCCATCTCACCAGCCCCCAATGACTTATTTACTAATGCTTATATTTTCCTTTTTTTTTTTTGTGGAACTGGGGATTGAACTCAGACCCTTGCGCTTATTCTACTGAGCTATCTCCCTGGCCCCTATATTTTAGAACAATTACATTTTAATAAATTTTTTTTTGCGGTACTGGGGGTTGAACTCAGGCCCTTGTACTTGCCAGGGAAGTGCTTATTCCACTGAGCCATCTCCCCAGCCCTTTAATAATACTTCAAAAGGAAAATACTTTTTAAAAATTTAGTATAACTAAACTGACAAGTTTTGAAACTGAATACTAAATGCCTTTTCCCACTATTTATTTATTTAGTATTTGTTTGTTTATGGTACTACAGGTTAAACCCAGAGCCTTTACATGGTAGCATCACTATCCTTTTTACTTTTTTTCAGTCTCATTAAGTCACCAAATTGCCTAGGCTGAACTCAAACTTGTAATCCTCCTGCCTCAGTCTCCAGGAATGCTGGGATTATAGGTGTACATCACACCTGACTTACTGAACACTTTTTAAAAGAATGTACTCAAGAGGGGACGGGGAGATAGTTCAGTAGAATAAGTGTTTGTCTGGTAAGCACAGGGTCCTGAGTTCAATCTCCAGTACCACAAAAAAAAAAAGAATGTACTCAAAGAATTTTAGATCTTTATAGACACAACAGTCTAAAATTTATTTAGAGCGGCGCGTCCGGAGGTCCCGCGGATCTGTTTTTGCTTCAACAGTGTTTGGACGGAACAGACCCGGGGACTCCTCTTTCATCTTCCCATCCACCTTCCAGGTACAAGTTTCGGGACCATCTTCTCGCCTATCGCCTCCTTCCAGGACCGGACAACACCATTCTTTTGTGGGTAGCTCCTTATTGCTGATCAGCCATGACCTCTCAGATTCGTCAGAATTATTCCACCGAGGTGGAGGCTGCTGTCAACCGCTTGGTGAACCTGCACCTGCGGGCCTCCTACACCTACCTCTCTCTGGGCTACTACTTTGACCAAGATGATGTGGCTCTGGAGGGCGTGGGCCACTTCTTCCGTGAGCTGGCCAAGGAGAAACGCGAGGGAGCCGAGCATCTCCTGAAGATGCAAAACCGGCGCAGTGGCCGTGTACTCTTTCAAGACATGCAGAAACCATCTGAAGATGAGTGGGGTAAAACCTTGGACGCCATGGAAGCTGCCCTGGCCCTGGAGAAGAACCTGAACCAAGCTCTTCTGGACCTTCATGCCTTGGGCTCTGCCAAGACTGACCCCCATATCTGTGATTTCCTGGAGAACCACTTCCTAGATGAGGAGGTGAAGCTCATCAAGAAGATAGGTGACCACCTCACCAACCTCCGCAGGCTGGCGAGCTCCCAGGCTGGGCTGGGCGAGTACCTCTTTGAAAGGCTCACTCTTAAACATGACTAGGAGGTCAGAGCCTGGCGGTCTCTGAGGGGCTCCTGCATCACCCGGCGTAAGGGCTTTGCCTAACCCTCTCCCTCCAGCCACTAGGCAGCTTTCTCACCTTTCTGGAGCCCCCTCCCAAATCTTGGACCAAAAGAAAATAAACCCTTTTGCAGCAAAATAAATAAATAAATAAATAAATAGAAATAAAATTTATTTATTTTTTTGGCGGAACCAGGGATTGAACTCAGGCCCTTGCCAAGGAAGTGCTTATTCCACTGAGCCACTCCCCGGCCCCTAAAATTTAAATTGCATAAAAAGCAAATATAATCAGTTCTTAGAAGTTTGGGGGCCGGGGAGATAGCTCAGTAGAATAAGTGCTTGTCTGGCAAGCACAAGGACCTGAGTTCAATCCCCAGTTCTGCCAAAAAAAAAAAAAAAGAAGTTTGGACTACCCTACTGAGATAATGGAGGAAACAAACAATCTTTTATGTCTTTTTTTTAAAAATCCAGCTCAGCCCACCCTGTGGGTGGGGCTGGCATGGCATGTGGTGCCAAGGATTGAACCACAGTCCCCTGTGCCTGCCTAGATTGCCTAAGCAGGCACTTTAGACCACTAAGCTATCTTTCCAATACATGTTTTTGTCTTTTGGAGACAGTTCTTCTATGCAGTTTAGGCTGGCTTGAACTCCCAAGGATCCTCCTGCCTCAGCCTACCAAGTGCTGGGTTTAAAGGCCGTGTGTCACCACACCAGCTGGTAACAAACTGATTTTAACACAAAAATAAATATATATATATATATAAAATTATTGGGCCAGAGAGATGACTCAGTAGAGTAAGACTGAACTCAAGGGCCTGAGTTCAATCCCCGGTTCCACAAAAAAAAAAAAAAAATCCTCCCAAAATGAAATTAAAAATAAATATGTACATGTGCCAACTCCACAAAAAGAATGTGAAATATTTTCATTTTTGAGACAAGGTCTCACTATGAAGCCAAGGCTGGCCTTGAACGCTCAGCAATTCTGCTGTTTTAGCCTCTTAAGTGTTGGGATTACAGGTGGGCATCACCATGCCCAGTTAGAGCTGGACAGACAGATCAGTGGGTTAAAGCACCTGCTTAGGCAGATGCAGGGGCCAGGGTCAATCGGCACACTGAGACAGCGATTGTGACTGGGAGTGGTGGCGCAAGCCTGTAATCCCAGCACTTGCGAGGCTAAAAACAGGAGGACCACTGAGTCTGATGTGTGTAGTGAGATCCTGTAGACTCCATACTAAAAATACAAAAAACAAATAACAACAATAACAACAACAAAACACCACATGCCAGGTTAAAGAATATAAATGTTATGTAATGCAAATATGTACTAGTGGGCTGTGGAGATGGCTCAGTGGAATAAGTGCTTCCCTGGCAAGTGCAAGGTCCTGAGTTCAATCCCCGGTTCTGCCAAAAAAAAAAAAAAAGATTTTTGGGGGCTGGGGAGATAGGTCAGTAGAATAAGCGAAAGGGCCTGAGTTCAATCCCCAGTTCCGCAAAAAAAAAAAAATTATGTTCATATACTAATGACTTAGCGTTCTGTTGGTAGTTTCATGTGGATCCTAGAACATAGGACAGGTACTACTTGCATATGGTAACAAAGACATTTTTTTAAATTAAGTAGTTATGCCTTGCAAAAAATTTTTTTTTCTTGTTAAAATCTACTCACCAAAGCTGCAAAAGCCCATCCTGTTTTATTAAAGAGAAATTCCATATTGCTTCTTCGAAGATACACAAGTCCACCAATAACAGCCAAAAGCAATCCCAACATAAGGGGACCAGCATAATTTGGAGGTCTAATTACTCTAATCTAATGGAAAGAGAAAAATATTTTATTTATTTATTTATTGTTTCAGGTCATGGACAGACTCCCATTATCCCAATTTATTTTTTTATCAGTACATACTTGTGGTTCATAGTGATTACATGTACACAGCTCATCTTAAATTTTTTCAATCCTTTCCTTTCCCCTCCCTCTACTCTATCCTTTTGTGCCCTTTCCTTTTACCAAGTATTTCCTATTATCTACTTACTTTTCATTGCACCTTTGTAATATAACTTTAAATCCAGGATTATGATGCCTCAATTTTACTTGTTACCCTGGATTGTTTTTGATATTCTAGGTCTCTTCTGAGTTCATAGGAATTTTAAGAGTTTTCATTGAGACAGGAATGCCTCTGTTAGTTCAGGCTGATCTTAAAAGTCACTATGTAGCTCTTAGTGACCCCCAAACTCAAGACAATGTTTCTGAGTGCTGGGATTTATAAGCATGGAACTCCACACCTGTAAGTATTCATGCATTATCTTTTTCTACTCCTCAGAAAGCTATTGGTGTTTTGATAAAGATTACATTCAATCTGTATTTTAGTTTTGAAAGTATGGGCAATTCTGTATTTTGATTTTGTCTATCAAGAGAGAGGGAATATCTTTTCATTTCATGATGTCTGGTTTGAAAGTAAAAAGTGAAATATAAAAAGCAGGGCAGGATTGTGAAGCAAGTCCTAGCACACCTTTGGACATCCCTGCAGCAAGTGCCACAACTTTCTCAGCAAGTTTAACATTCTAGAGAGGGATTGGCCAGGGAGAGTGGAGATGATCTTCAAATAAAGGCCTAAAAGGACCGGGGACAGGAATATCCAGATGCCTAGAAATAGTCTATTGAAAATAGTATTGCAAAACAGAACTATACTGACACCTCCATTATTCATTTATTTTTCAGACAGGGTCACTATGTTGTTGAGATTGGCCTTGAGCTCACTATATAGGATGAAGAACTCAAGGTGATACTCCTGCCTCAGCCTTCTAAGTGCTGAGATTATAGGTATATGCCACCACTCCCAGCTGGGAAAAACATTTTAAAGCATAACATTTATTTACTAAGTTAAATAATAAAAAATGCGGTTATTCTTTGGAAAAAGTAAACTTTTCTCATTTCATTTCAATTAAAACATTTGATACTGTATTCTAAAATGGGGTGCAATTGGTATAATATTCTATTTAATCATCCTATAACATCTTTTATACTAAGAGGGATTCCTAGGTACAACTAGACAGCCCACAGATTTAAGAAAGTCAAGAGTGGTTTCCAGGCTGAATTCCACAGAATAATGGGAGGTTCTGTAATTTCACTCTTTTCTTTTTTGATATCAGGAATTGAACTCAGGACCTTGTGCTTGCCAGGCAGGCACTGTGCCACAGATCTACATGCCCAGCCCTGTTATTTCATTCTTTTATTAGGATAATTCTGATAAATACTACTTATGAAAGAACTGCTAAACTACCTCAGTGACATAGGTCCAAGACCATTATAACCTCCCAGTAAAATTTAAAGGGAACTACAGTAAACCATCTGCAAAGTTGGGAACTCACGTTGACATCAGTTCTGTCTGCAATCCAACGGGCAATTTGCTCAGCTGAAAAACCCCGCACCTGCAACTCGTATGTATCACCTCGTTTAGGCTTCCCTTTTGCAGGAAAGTTGATGAACGTTGGAGCAGAATTCATGTTTAGCTGAAGGAAGAGCAGTCCATGGAAGTAAAAATTATCAAGAAAATAATATTAATGGTAAATGATTTTACAAACATGAGGAGGACATTTTACAAAGGTGAGGCACTATACAAAGATGAAGCAGCTCAGAATTAGACAGGTTAATTGATTTGCTAAAACGGTGGAGTCAGGGTTCAAATACAAGTCTGATTGTGACTTTATTATTCTTTACTGACTAAATATAAATTTCTAGCTAAGAAATCTACATTGCACTCCACTAAAAAGGAATTTCCCATACCACAGGTATTTTAATCTGTTTAGCCACTATTCATGAGCACCAAAACAGTCTTATGTTTACTATTTTGTTTTTCAAACTGAGTTCATGCTCAACAGGCCACTTTTTTGGAGGGTCAGGGAGATGGCTCAGTGGAATAAGCGCTTCCCTGGCAAGCACAAGGGCCTGAGTTCAATCCCCGGTTCCACCAAAAAAAAAAAAAAAAAAGATTTAGTGTTTCTCAACAGGCCACTTTTCAAGTGTTATTACAAGTGCATAGATTTTAATATTGGCTGTGTTTCAGTCTATTGTGGTTGTACATTTTAGTGTACACGCTGCCCCATCTCTTACCAGTGGATGTGTCTTTGTGCTGACTGCTATGCAGTATATTAATTACTATAACTGTACTACTAACCTGTTTTGAAACTGTCTCATTCTTATTTCTCAATAAAATTTTAAGAAAAAGTCTTATGTAGCTGACGCAACCTCAAATAGAGTACAGTATTTTTTGTATGTGTGTGCAGTACTGGCAAATGATCCCAGGGGTGCTCTACCACCAAACTATATCCATAGCCTTTGCTTCATCTCCCCAGTAGCTAGTATTATATGTGTGTGCTACTTACTATGTCCAGTAAGTAGCTGAGGCCAGCCTGGGCTACAGATGAGTTCAGTCTGAATTTTGTAGCAAGATGCTGTCTCAAAAAAAAAGACACCAACTGAAAACCAATATAAAATGATAGCTGTATACAGAAATAATCAAATGGTCTTTTCTTTAAATGATGACAGGGTCTTGTTAATTGTTCAGGCTGGTCTTTAATCTGTGATCTTCTGCTTCAACCTGCCAAGTATCTGTTATTACAGGAGTATTCTACCATACTCAGAAGACATAGTTCATTATAATTGGTTCCATAAATATTTACTGATGAGCCTTTCGTTTTCTTTATCATGTGATTATGACATGCCTGAGAAGACAACACAGGAATTGCTAAGGCAAAGAAGTCATAACTCTCTCATCTGCATTTTATCTTTCATAACATGGTATAATTACTTGTGCAAAACAGAGTCTATGTTCTAGAGAAAGTTTCTTTTTTTATGTATTTGGTACAGGGTCTCACTACACAGGTTGGACTCATAATGATCCTCCTGTTTTCAGCCTCCCCAACACTGGGATTATAGGCGTGCACCACCACACCCGGACTCAGTTACCTGCTCAGCATGCCAGGGGGGTGGGGCTGGATCAAACCTGTCCCTGTGCTTGCTTAAGCAGGCGCTTAGTCTGCTGAGCTATCTTACCAGCCCCCTAGAGAAAGTTTCTGACCAATAGATATAAGCCTTTGTTTCTTGTCAATATGTAATCCTATCACAGAGAATGAATTATGGCAAACAATGGCAGATAGGTGTGTAAAAACATGCAACTCGGATGTCCTCATCCACCTTATTTGCCAGATCTGGCACCATGCTGTCTTTTTTTATGTATTTAGTACAGGATCTACAGGATCTCACTATGTAGATCAGACTCTACAATGCAAGTGCTATATAAGACTCTACAATGCAAGTGCTATATAATCCCCAGTAACAAAAACAAAGTTCTGATACAACATGAACTTTGAGGACATAATATTATGTGAAATGACAGTCACAAAAAGACAAATACTATATGATTCCAATTATATAAAGTACCTAGAGTAGTCACAGTCACAGAGACAGAAAGGATAATGGGGGTTAGCAGGGCTGGGGTAGGAAGCATAGAAGTGTTTTAGTGGGTATAGAGTTGCAGGGTTTGATTCCCTTTTTGGTACTGGTATGGAGGACCACCTGAGCAACTCTCCTTGAAAGAAGAGCAATTCTCTCCATGTTGGCTGAGCCTGACCCTATTTCCTTGTATTGATAATGTACAGAGCTGGCTATGATTTTTCCTTATCCCTTCAATTGGCTTTAAGCAATGCATACTGCTCTAGCCGAGGTGCTGGTGATAGTCTTTGAAGAAGTGTGTTTCCCTGGTAATCCACACCTGCTGCTCTTTAATATGAGCCCAGTTGAAACAGGACAAAGCGACAGTGCTGTCGGCTGGGATTAAGCCTCAAGAAAGAAGCTATGACTTGCTGGAGTTTGAAAGATTACACATCAGAGCTGAAGCACTGGAGCCCAAAATATTAGATACTATCTCAATAGTATAATGCAAATTACTTTTTCTGCATATCCTTCTTTCTGCATATGACAGAGGTAAATGCAGGCCTCCTACTTAGCCTAGTTCACAGTACTCACCTACTTCCCACAATTCTCAGTCATTCACCCTCAAGCCACTAGTCCTTCACAACTGAATAAAAGCCAGGTGAGGTCCTGGGTCAGCCCTTTTTGTTCCGGAAAGCCATCTTTGTAGCTTGACTTAGGGTCCCTTGGCTCCCTATAATTATTTTTTCTTTGTTTTTTTTGGAACCGGGGATTGAACTAAGGCCCTTGTACTTGCCGGAGGAAGCACTTATGCCACTGAGCCATCTCCCCGGCCCCTCCCTATAATTATAATTATGCTTTAGTATCTTTATTTTCACTGTGGGTTGCACTGGGAGTGGAAGATTGGAATTAAGTTGGTGGGATTCCAATAACATATTTTTGGGATTACAAACACAGACTTTTTGGACTGAGACGAGGACCAGGAAGAGCTTCCTACAGTGCTGGGAATTAAACTCCAGTTTGCTTTTAGTTCAGGACTCTAGATTTTATATAAGAAGAGTCCTAGTAAACTTCTTTTTTTTTTTTTGGTGGAACTGGGGATTGAACTCAGGTCCTTGCGCTTGCCAGGGAAGTGCTTATTCCACTGGGCCATCTCCCCGGCCCCCTAGTAAACATCTTGTAGCCACTGAAAAACAGGTATTCTACTTAATTCATATTTTACCTATTCCTGTATAAGAATAAACTAAAGATCTTACCATCTGAAATACATCAGAGCCTTCATCAAAATCCACCATGGCAAAAAATATCCTGTTAGTAAATGCACTGGAGTATCTCCAAGAGTTTGCCAGGATCTGAAATTCTTCATCAGCTTGCCTAGATGCAATCAGATTTACGAGGATAACATGTAAAACAGTTTCCAAAATCAATGTAGTGCATCAACAGTTATACAAAGTCCAACTAAGCAATAGTAATTTTTATAGGAGAAATATTAAAAATCACAAGTCAGGCTCTGATGACAAGATGAGGATCAAACCTTGTTTTGGCATGGAAAGCCTTATCCCGAGCGTTGGGATTTCACCATAGATTAGTAATTGTGGGGCCTGGGAGATGACTCAGTGGAATAAGTGCTTCCTTGGCAAGTGCCAAGGGTCTGAGTTCAATCCCCAGTTCCACAAAAAAAATAAATAAAAAAGATTAGTAATTGCATGACTATTTTACTTTGGGGCCGTTTCTTATACCAATGCTCTTTCAGTGGTCACTAGAAACACCCAGCTAATTGATTTTACAAGTTTAGGAAAAAAAAAACACACGTTGGCCTTTAAATGCTGGACTCTAGTATTTTTCTGTCTTTGCCCCCAGGACTACAGGCCCACACAACTGTACACCCTCCACACACACCCCCATGTCCCACTGCTGCTGGGGCTCTAACCCGGTATCTAAAACATATTAGTCAGGTGCTGCATAGCACTGAGCTCCACCTACAAAGTTCATAACAATTTTTTTTTTTTGTGGAACTGGTGATTTAACTCAGGCCCTTGAGCTTGCCAGGGAAGCACTTATTCTACGAACCATCTCCCCAGTCCATTTTTTCTAAAATGGGTTTTTTTGGTGGCTGGTAAGAATATTAAGAAAAGTAACAAGGATCTGGATGTGGTGGTACATGCCTATAATCCTAGCTACTTGAGGCTAAAGTAGGAAGATCACTTGAGCCCAGAAGTTTAAGATCAGCGTGGGCCAGGCGTAGTAGCACACATGAGACACAGGCAGGGAGGATCATTGTAAATTCGAGACCAGCAAGTGCTACAAAGTGAGTTCAAGACCAGCCTGAACTACATAGTACAATCTTGTCTCAAAAAAAAAAGCAGAAATGCCAGCATTCAAGAGGCTTAGGCAGGAAGATCATTGTGAGTACAAGACCAGCCTGAACTGCATATCGAGACCTTATCTCAAAAAAATGGCAGAGGGGCTGGCGAGATAGCTCAGTGGTCTAAAGCACCTACTTAGAACAAGCTTAGCAAAGCACAGGGACCGCGGTTCAATCCCCCAGCACCACATGCCAGCCAGCCCTGCCCCCAGGTGGGCTGAGCTGGCCACAAAAAAAATAAACACTCTAAGGGGCCGAGGAGACAGCTCAATAGAATTAGTGCTTGCCTAACAAGTGCAAGGGCCTGAGTTCAATCCTTAGTTCTGAAAAAAAAATAACTCTATAAAAAAAAAGTTTTAAAAAAAGGCAGAAAAAAAATATATAATCACACTAGAAAACAAAAGCTACTCTATTTTTTAATATGTACCATTTTGGGGGCCGGGGAGATGGCTCAGTAGAGTAAGCGCTTGTCTGGCAAGCACAAGGGCCTGAGTTCAATCCCCGGTTCCACCAAAAAAAAAAAAATCTACCATTTTTAATTATCGATGATGTTTCTGTTTAAATAGCAGGGCCTGCCTGATAGCTCAGTGGACTAAAGCACCTGCTTAGGCAGAGCACAGTGGCCAGGGTTTGATGCTCTGTGTGCTGTGCCAGCCCAGCCTGAGGGGAGCGATGAGAGAGTGATTGAGACTGGGCATGGTAGCGCACACTTGTAATCCCAGCACTTGGAAGGCTGAAAACAGGAAAATCACTACAAGTCCAATCTATGTGAGACCCTGTGGACCCTGTCCTAAATACAGGGAAAAAAAGAAAAAAAAGAAATAGTAATCTTTGGTCCTGAAATCATTCAGAAGCAGCAAAATAAGAATGGATAAATCATTGTTTGGTGAGATTTTAGTGAGATCAGTCTTTTATCTCTAAGGTTGACAAATAGTGCAAAACATACACAACAAAGTCTGAGGCAGGAGGGTGTAAATTTGAGTCCCATTTGGACAACTCAGTGAGACCCTGTCTCAAAATAAAACTTAAAAGGAAGTGGAGCATGGTGGTATGGTCGTGTAATCCTAGGAAGATTCAAAATTGCAGCCTAGACTGTGAAACTTTTTTTTTTATATTTTTTGGGAAGGGTCTATAGGGTGTTCAGGGTCTCACTACTAGATAGGACTTGTAGTGATCCGCCTGTTTACAGCCTCCCAAGAGCTGGGATTACAGGCATGCGCCACCATGCTCAGTCTTAATCACCATCTCAGTGCCCCCCAGGGGCAGGGTGGGCACGGCAGGCCTGGGGATCGAACCCCTGGCCCCTGTGCCTGCTTGCAGGCTCTTTAATCCACTGAGCTATTTGGACTAGTGTTATGGTTTGTGTATAGGTGTCCCCCCAAGCCTCGTGCAGTCTTGGGGAGGCTTCTGGAGTTTGTGATTGATTGTTGTGGGTTTGGATGCTGTACCTGCTCTGGGGCAGGTAATTTGCATTTCAATGTAAGGAGGAAAGAGAAGCTAGCTGCTTGAGCTGCTGCTACCTCTCCCTTGTGCTCTTGCTCTTTGCCATGGCCATGAAAGATTGCCCTCTGCTGTGTGCTGCTCTGCCTTGGACCCAGCTGAATATGGACTGAACCCTCCAGTAACTGTGAGCTAAATAAACCTTTCCTTCCTTTATTTTGAGTGTCTGGTATTTGTCCCAGCAACAAGAGAAGAATAACTAAGACAACTAGGCAACTTAATTAGAGCCTGTCTCTCCTTGTTCCGTTTCTACCTCCAATCTTTTAGTAACCAACAGTCTACTTTGTGCTTCTTTTGAGTTTGACTGTATTAGATTCTACATGTGATCACATGCATCTTTGTTCTTTAAAGGCCCCTCATTCTCTCACATTCCCAGAAGAAGCCATAATTAATGCATAAATACACATTCAAAGGGGGGATGTCTCAGTAGAATAAGTGCTTCGCTGGCAAGCTCAAGGATCTGAGTTCAATCCCCAGTTCTGCCAAAATTTAAAAAAAAAATTAAAAAAAAATACACATTTAAAGTTTCAGGTCTTTCCGAGTCCTCGGCCGGCCTTTCTGAGTCCTCGGCCACCATGGCACCCATGAAAAAGCTTGCAGTGAAGGGGGGCAGAAAAAAGAAGCAGGTCCTGAAGTTCACCCTTGATTGCACACATCCCGTAGAAGATGGAATCATGGACGCTGCCAATTTCGAGCAGTTTCTCCAGGAAAGAATCAAGGTGAACAGGGCTGGTGAGATGGCTCAGTGGTCTAAAGTGCCTACTTAGAACAAACTCAGCAAAGCGCAGGGACCACGGTTCAATCCCCCAGCACCACATGCCAGCCAGCCCCGCCCCCTGGTGGGCTGAGCTGGCCACACACTGACACACACACACACACACACACACACACAAATAAATAAATAAAATTAAAAAAAAAAGAATCAAGGTGAACAGCAAAGCCGGGAATCTCGGTGGAGGGGTGGTTACCATCGAAAGGAGCAAGAGCAAGATCACCGTGACTTCCGAGGTGCCTTTTTCCAAAAGGTATTTTAAGTATCTCACCAAAAAATATTTGAAGAAGAATAATCTGCGTGACTGGTTGCGCATAGTTGCTAGCAGCAAAGAAAGTTACGAATTAGGTTACTTCCAGATTAACCAGGACGAAGAGGAGGAGGAAGATGAGGATTAAAGCTCCTTTGTCTGGAATATTTTTTATGAGTTCTTGAATAAAACTTGGGAACCAAAA